TTATCAAAGAAAACAATATATATACCGATAGATTTTTTGACGAGCATTTTCTTTTTGTAAATTTGTTATACGATCATTTATTAATGAAGATTCATTAAATTCGTCAAGCCATTGAACAACTTCTTTATCATTTGTCCATTGAAGAGACTATCATATAGAATTATTTCATAAACAAATAAAAAAATAAGTTTCAATTATTTTACATTATCTTTTTTATCTTCATTGAACCATTGTTGTAGATAATTTAATGCTTTATGATAATCTAATGAAGAATCAGCGGTAAGAAGTGTTTTGATTGCATTATCTTCTCCTAAACGTCGTTTTAAACGCCAATAAAAGAATTCTCGACTTGTTCGCCAGTCAAGTATTTCCTTCAAATAAACGAAAAATTACACACACATAAGAACTCAAACAATTTATTTTCAATATCAACTTACTTGAATAACACCTTTTTCTAACATTCTCCCAGGTGTATCATGTAAATCACAAAACATAACAGCAGCTTGTTGATAAAGTGGTAATAAATGTTTTTCTCGTTCAGCTAATTGTCTTTCTAAATCTTCTTTCGTATTATTTGCTGGTATGGCTAAATCTATATTTGTTATTAATTCACGACAAATAGAATCAAGTCGATGCATTGTACGTATAAGATCTTTTGAACGATATTTTATTTCTACCGTACCCTCTGGTTCCAACACACTACCACGACTCATACGATCAGCATACATTTCCATATATCTTAAATTAATTGTTGGATCAACAACAACCCAAGCTCCACCACGTAATTCACCACATGGTGGAATATAAATAAATACAGGTTGTTCATATTCACGTAAAGCATCCACAATATATGCACCAAATTTAATTATTTGATCAAACATATCTTTCATTCCACCACTAAAACCACGCCAATTAGCAAATATCATTAATGGTAAATTTTCACGTTTAAAATCATTAATTGCTTGTGCTGTTTTAAATGCTGAATCAGGAAACCAAACTTGTCCAGCTTGTTGAATAGTACGTGCATCAGAATCAAAATTAGCTGGATCAGCTGGTTGTTCTAATTCAACTGTACGAGTTTCAACTGCAATTACACCCATTGCTTAAAAAAAGATAAGGAAATCATTTATAAAAAAAATATTAGTAGAAGTTTCTTTAAATCGCTTACGAATTCCTCCGAGACGAGCTCGACCACAAACAACAGTTTTTGCCCAATTTTTCATTATTTCAATAAATGAATCTCGATCAAAAAAACCTGTTTGAAATGTTGGCGAAGTTGATGAACCTATTTCATTATTAATATTTGTTTGTGATAAAGAAGTAAGTTGTCTTCCTTGAATCATATGTCGTGGATCATATGGTGTTGCTGTTGGCATAAAATCAATTGAACGATTTATTGGATCATGTAATTCAGATAATATTGGTAATGAATGAGACATTGTTTCAGGCATATAAGAAAGCCAACGAAGTAAAAGTACACATCCTTCAAAATCATCTTTAACAATATCATGTGTAACACCATTATTAAACATAATTTGTGTACCACCTAATTGATTATTACTATTATAAACTTCTCTACCAAGAACTTTATTAAGTGCACCAGCACCAGTTAATATAATATGAGAATTTTCAACTTGTATTACACGAGAACCTAATCGAACAAGATATGCACCAATACCAACAGCTCGACATGTTACTAAACTAATTGTTGGAATAACATTATATGCAAGTGAAGTTTCGCCAGCAATCATTCCTGATCCACGTAAATTTTCAACACCTAAACTATTTTCTTTCCCAATAATATCTAGAATTTTATGTCTTGTTTCTCCATCTTCATTTATAATTTCTGTTCGTACACAATTCATATGTGATACACGTGAGTAATCATCCGATGATAAATATAAATATTTAATACCTTTGTCAATATCTTTTGGATCATTCCATGCAATACGATAAAGAAATTTTAATTCTTCAGCTAAACCAATACGTGCACCACTATTTGCAGATATATATATTCGTGGTATACGTTCTAAACGTGATAATTCTGAAGCACGTTGAAATAATAAATCTTCTTCAATACCAAATGAACCTATTTTATATGTTATATCATTAGCAATAACAATTATTGTACGACCATTTGGACATTCAGGTGTTTTCATATGAAAACGCCATGCAACCATACCACAATCATTTTCTGCTGGTGAACGTCGACGTATTGTAAGACCACATTGTTTAAGATAATCATCTGATTTATTTGTATCAAGTGGCGATAATTTTGATGAGATCATTGCTGGTGATAATAAAGATGCTGAATCACTGTGATTAACTATTATAAATAAAGAAAACAATAAGAGAGAACAAAAACACGTATTCTTTTATTTTTTACCTTGATTTGTGTTATCAAGAATAAGTTCTTCATAATTAAAAACATCTTTTGGCATTGAATTTTCTCTCAATTTATTTCGTTCTAAATATTGTTTCCATATCAATAATGATGCTTGTCGAAACATTTCAGGAATATCATAAACATATGATGTATTATTTGATTGAGCAGTAAAACGTTTATATTGTAAATGATCTTTTGTTACATATGGATCATGCAATGCACGACCATCTAATGGACCTGTTTCACCACTATTATAGGATTGAAATATCGTTTGTCCGGTAGTTGGATTTTTTACTTCACGATAAAGAGATATATCAAGATAATAACCATTTTCATATGTTAAAAATACACGAAATGGTATTCGTTCAGAATCAGGTGTTAGACGTATGGTCATTTTTAATTCAGCTTGAAGAATACGAAGTTTCCATAGACGAATACCTATTAGTTAAGAAAAAGATATAGTAGAAGATTTTCATTGAATTAGATTCATAATAATTGGCAAAAAAGGTGAAGGATGTGAGTGAGTAACTTAATATTCACACCCACACCCTTCTAGCATTCAAGTTTCGCAATTCATCTTATTTAAAAAAGAAATGTTATGATTAAACATACCATAACGAAGTACCATACTACGAACACTTTCTTCAAGTTTTGCTGGTTCAATACAAACAGTTGGTACAACACACATAAAAACATGATTACAATCTGTTTTATTAGCTAATGGATGTGAAAAAACAATTTCTAATTCATCCATAGCTTCAAGTAATGTTCTTTCAGCTTCATTTTGTAAATATTCATAACTTGCTTCTTTCGTAACAAAATCTGAATGACGAATAATTGCTCGTGCAAAAAATCTATGATCAATAGCATCATGTTGTTTGCTATAAATTTTGCCTTTGCCTAAATAGATATGCATTTTATGATTTGATGTTGGAATAAAATCTAAATCAAATGAACGTAAACGATAGATTTCTAATTGATAAGCAAGTGCTGGTTCCAAATTTCGATAAATTTTATCTTCTTGAAACTAGAAAAAAATAAAGCATTAAGAAAATAAAATATCATCATGTTCTTTGTTTTTCTTTTACATCTAATCGTTTTCGATAAGTATAATAAAGTGGAAATTGACGCTGAAAAGAATCCAAATGAATTATTAATTATTAGCTAAATCACAATTTTACCTTAGCTGCAAGTGAAAATGTTATTCGACGGATATTTTTTGCTTTACAAACTTCAGACTAAAATAAATATTATTTAAAAATATTTTGTTTTCTTCAAATTAAATACACAGACTTTTGATTGTACAAAATCAAGAAAAACATCTTCAAGTTTTGAACCTTGTTGAAGATTAACATCATCTTTAATAAATATATATATTAAATTAGGTGCTTCATCAATCTAATAATAAGAGCAGAAATATAATAATTTTATTATTTGAAATTATCTTTTTACTCCAGATTTATATGATTTCGTCGAAGGACTATCAAGTGAAGATTGTCTACCATAGGAACGACTGCGTTTATTACTTTGAACTGATGAATGAACATCTGAATGAGTTGGAGAAAATGGAATTAATAATTCATCAAATAAACTAAAGAAGTACAATGAATTATATTATCAACAGTTTTTATTTTTAATAAACTAACTTTTTAGCACGTTCCCAACTATCAAAAGCAGCTAAGATACCATTACGTTGGAATAAATCTGAATCAAGATTAGTTAAAGACGCTAAATCACCACCAACACTACCAATTCGAGCCATATGTTCTTGTTGAAATAATCTAAAATTAATTATTAATCTATTAAAAACAAATTTTCCACAAATCCTTTCCATAAGATCTTCTTTGATATTCTTCCAAGAAAATCTAATTCATTTTTTTATCAATATTAAATTCGAAATGGTGTTAATTTATCTATCGAATCTTACGAATTATATCAACTGAACACTTCATAACAAAAACTGTCATGAACGACTTTCACTAACAATCGAAACTTCGGTTTCTATCATTATTACAGTAAAGTAAGTAGATATCTTTTACTCACGTACCGATTAGGATGATTATGTGGAAGATATAGAGCAAATTGAACTGCACAAGTACCATCTGAAAGAAAACGATGTTGAATACTATTCAAATCATATGATATATATGAACGACGAACATAAACCTAATTTATATATATGTATATAAATTCATTAAACGTTCTTTCAAAATCTTACTTCTAATGCTGCTTGACGCACTTGAATATTTGAATGAAAATAAAAACTATGTAAAACATCAAAAATACTTGTTTCTGATTGAATTAATTTCTAAAAAAAAAAGAAGGTTATTTTTTAGAATTAATCTGCTTCTTTTTTTTTGTAATCAGTTTATGTCCTACTTGAATATTTTCTTGACATAATCTATGTCCATACATATCAATAGCGCTTAAAAAAATCGATTCCATTTGATTATGTCTTAATTCATAGGGTGGTTGTTGAAAAGCAATTAAAACTTGTCGAGATTTTAAAGCAACTTTTGAATTAGTTACATGTGTTAATAATGTTAATTCACTTAATAATGCTGTTAATTCATCTGTTAATGTTGGATCACGTTCAAATAATAAATCAATTAACATAATAACAAGTGTATTTTTTGAATTATAATTTGCATGTGAAAAAACAATTTCAACAACTTTATGCATATCAATTTTATGTTTATCACGTAATAATGTTAAACATTTATCATATTGTCCATATTGAAATAATGTTTCAATATTTAAATAATTTCTTATTAAATCTGTTATAACTGTTTTCATATGTCCTTTAATACCTGTACGATAACGTTGAACTAATTGTATAAGACTTTGTATAGTTGCAAAGAATGCATCTCGATCAGATCGTTGTTCTAATTTTGTTGCATAATTATCAAAAACTAATGCCATTTGTTGTGAAGGAAATTGCACTAAGACAGATGTTAAATTACTATAATAATTTTTCATAATTTTTTTAATTTCTTTATCAACTTCTTTTGGTATACGATCAGATATATTGGATAAAATATCTTCAACTTCAAGTAATGGTAATGATGGATCACGTAAAATAGAAAATAATTTTTCAACATTTGATTTAAGTCGTTCACGAAAATATGGTTCAGGATAAGAATAACCAGCAAGAATATTTTGTAATGAATCTTTTATTATTTGAAATATTTGATTGATTTTCATGCTTGTTGAACGATCGGACATATCAAAATGAAATTTACCATCATATAATTTTGATTGTTGAATTTGTTGAGAATCATCAAATATAATACGAGCAAGAATACATGATGCATCAAGAACAGCACCAGGACGTTTATTCCATTGGAGACTAAAACATAGAACAATTCAACTTAGATATGGATTACAGATCTCGTATATTAATTATATGTATTCTTTATCACTGGATATTCTAGGACTACTTCGAAATGATGATAGTTGATGTATGAATTAATATTTCACTATTTTATCTATGTTATATAGGTGTTTGAATTCAAAATATATCTTACTGTCCTTTCGATGGACATCGTAATTCTGTCACCATTTTCATCACTTCAATTTCTGCATAAACTTGTCCTGCTTCTATTGCACTACCATCTTCTACAGTATAATGAAGAAGTTTTCCTGCTGAGGGTGATCTAAAATAAACATTTTTGCAAAATATTATATTTAAATAAACAAAAAATCATTTCAAACCTTAATATTGATGGATCATTTTCTTTTTGAAATACACATGACTTATTATTAATAACAATTTTATAACTATCAATTTCTTCTTTCATGAATGTTAAATAACTTGAACCTTCTAAATTGATCAACATTCCACCATCTTTCATTCTATGCGCTTCTAATTCTACGTAAGAATCATTCATAACGACAAAAAAACTACTTGGACCACATTGCGTAACCTAAACAAGAGCCAATAATAATGAAAATAAAATTAAAATATGAATCATTACGTGTAATTTGTATTTAATATATTCAAAAATAAGTTCTACATTATGTGAAATTGAAAGAGCTTTCATCGACAATATCTGACCCCTAGAAATATTAAATAATATATTTTATAATCGATAAAGAATTGCACTATTAGTATTTATAATTTCTATTTTTATAACATTTTTGCATTCAACAGAAAAAAACTATTTGAAATTTTTATCGATACACGAAGAATTAGTAACTAAAATGATTCTATTGAGAAATTCTAAGAATATTAATAGTACAATTCTTTGTAAGCTACAAGTTCTTTTTTTATTATTAAACTATACCGTTCAAGTGATGATTGAAAATTTTGAAAACTATTGCGAAATGTTTCATTAGCTACATGTATTGCACCACAAATAATAGATAACATAATATCTGGTTTTTCTGTTTGGAAATGTTCAGCAATTAAACCATCGAGCCAACTTGTTTTTATTGTATTATTTATATAATCATCCGTTTCAAATAATCGTATTAAAATTTCCACTAAAAAAAAGATAAATTTATTTTTATAATAGAAAATATTTATTTATTCTACCAGTTGAATGAAAATCTCCACGGATTGATAATTCCTTCAATGCAACGACAAGATTTCTAAAAAGAAATAATATTTCATTGAAAATAATCTATTATTTTGACTAACTCTCGAGCATCTTCTCGTGTTTCACCATGTGAAAAAATATGTCCAAATTGTGAATCAGCAAATTCATGTAAACCACCAGATGATGATATACTAAAATAACCCCAAACATTCTGTCGACTACGAAAATTTAATTCTTCAACTGTTCCTGAACTTGGTTTGAAACCCTCAAAATAGAGTACAAATTAATTCTGATTTTTCTTTTTTTCATTATTTACTTCATCCGGATTTTCACTTGTTATACGTGCTGCAATTGCATGACCATGTGGATGAGGTTTTGTACGTGGATTATCAAAATCGATTGGTTCTACACCAAATGGATCTTCATCGTAAAGTAAACGGATATCTTTTATACGATGTAAACATATACCCATAGCAATCTAGCAAAGAAAATAAATAGAAATTTCTATATTTTTCTAGAAAAATAATACAACTATCAAAAATATCAAGAACTAAAAAGTTTCGATTCTATCTTAGATAAGTATTGGACAGAAAACGATTCATGCATCTTTGTATGATTGACGAGGGGTCTTATCATCCGATAATAGATCGAATATGCGACTAAAATCAAAGTCTTCTGTATTCGTCTCTAGGTCCTCAATACTTCTAATCAATAACTAGAACAATGGATTTGTGAAAACAAATGATTGTATCTCATTTGTTCATTCTAGATCACTATTTCTCAAGTCAAGAGGTTAAATACTTCAAACAATTTTCCATAGTAAAAGATAATACCTGTAATTGACATGCAGGTAAATTAATATCTGTAATCATTTCTGTACAAGGATGTTCAACTTGTAATCGTGGATTTAATTCCAGAAAAAAGAATGATTGATCACTTGGATTATATAAATATTCAATTGTTCCAGCACTAAATTATATGTATATAAATTCTTTTGATATGATTTTTATTATAGACAAAAAATAAAACTAACCTAACATAAGTAACCATTTTTGCTAAACGTACAGCTGCTTTTTCCATTTGTTCAAGAATTTCTGGCGGAGCTATAATAGCTGGTGCTTCTTCGATAATTTTTTGATGTCGTCGTTGAATAGAACAATCTCGACCAAATAATGATATAGCTTGTCCACTTTGATCAGCAAGTATTTGTACTTCTAAATGTCTACAACTATCTGCATATTTCATTAGGAATATTGGTGAACCAGGCACTTCTGTTTGAACCTAAATTTTCAATTCAAAAATTATAACAAGAGAAAGATACTAATGAATATATTACTTGTCGAAAATAATTTTCGAAATCATCAAGACTTGTTGCTTTACGTATTCCTTTTCCACCACCACCTTCCGATGCTTTGATCATAACTGGAAAACCAATTCGACTAGCAATCTTATAATTTGAAAAAAAAACAATACATTCTTATTCATATTAATAAAATTATCTTACTTTTGCACCTTCTTTAGGATCAGTAACACATGCTTTTTCATACATTTCTTTAGGAACATCAGCATTTTCATGATCTTCTTCTCTCCAATCAAGTTTAAGATCTAAATTTTACATACACTTAAATTAGAAAGAAAAACAAATGATATTTATCATTACGAGATCCGCTCCAAGGTAATGTTGGTACATTAGCACTTTGAGCAATAATTGTTGAAGCTATTTTATCTCCTAATGCCCACATAGCTTGTTCTGGTGGACCTATTTTCATAAACGAAGACAATCTTAAATATTCTATAATGAAAACAAAATCATCCTACCAATAAATATTATTCCGTGTCGATGAAGTAATTCTGGCAGTTTAGGATTTTCTGATGCATGACCCCATCCAGCCCAAACAGCTATCAAATATTATCATAGATTATACTTTTTTTCGAAATCCATATAAACAAACCTTGTACAGGAAATCGTTTTGCTATATCAAGAATAAGTTCACAATTTGAATAATTCATATGTGATGGACCACCTTGAACATTAACACAATGATCAGCATATCGAATGTATTCTAGAAGAGAATGTTGTTTTTTTTATTTTACAAAAATCAAAATTAAATTTAACCAGCATTTGCTTTCATATCTTCTGGTGTAACCATTGCAACAAATTTAATTGTATTTTCTTGTCGAAACATTTCATATGACCAACGACGTATAGAACGCATACATTTAACAGCTGCAATACCATTATTTGCAATAAGAATCTTTAAAAAACAAAGAAGATTAATTTGAATAGATGTAAAAATAATAAAGAAAATATTACTTTATTGATCACACGTGAACCGCCTAATAGATCTGAAAGTTCTTTCGGTGTTGTCATACTTGTTGGTCGTATACCAACTGATCCCACGGAAAGACCAGACATTTTTCTAAATAATTTTTCTTCAAATGAATTTCGATCCGTATATAGTTACCTAGAATAACGTTTTCTCTTTTCAGATTTACTATCAGTACTTGATAAACTTTTGTTTGAAGATGTCGTACCATTTAGTGTTGTATCATTCGGTGATGAATGTTGATTTGAAAGAGCTGAAAATTCGAGAAATTCATCAACTTCATCTAACGATTCATTGGCATCATCAGTATGATGAGAATGATCAAGATCAAATTTAACTTTAGATGTTTGTTGGTTATCTTCTTGTGGAAGGTCTGGAAGTATTTTTTGTTCTTTCTGACCAGAAGCCATTAAGATTAAACGAACGAATTTATAAAAGAAGCAAATTAAAATATCTATAAAAAAATCAAGTAATAGAGCCAATCTTTGAAAAAGAGAGCAGAGTAAAAATTAGTTGGTTCTTTTTATTTAATGATCTACCATATATGTTATTCATTCCTTCATGCGCACCTTTAAAGTTCAAATAAACAAATCTAGCCCATATGAAATAGTAGTGTCTTATATCTGTTAGTGTTAAGTACCTGCACATGATATCTGATAGCGAAAGCAACAAACCTTTCGTTTTATCAAATAGCTCTCGAAACATCTCACATTAATAGAAAGTTCGAAGTAATCCAAAGAAAATATTCATATCGAACGTCCACTGAGGATCATTTTTTCTGAAGAAATTAATTTTTATAATAATATAGTCGTTCAATATTTCTTAAGATTGTAAGTTGATAGTTTAGCTAATCAATTTACATTTAAAACCCTTAATGAGTTTACTATATAGTACATGGAATTCTAATCCTTTCAACTGTATCTAAACTCATATTTGTATTACTGAATGGTAACTTGATATATTACTCAGGCGATCTTAATGATACTTTTATCAGGCGCTTCACGATTGAAATCTCTAGAACTAAAACTTATACGAAAATTCTAATTAAAATATTAAGATATTCGAAGAGAACTTCTTATATTCGCATGTGTTTTCTTAACAAGAGAAGTTTAATCAGTCATAACATCCGATAGATCAATATGACCTTTAATTCTTACTCTACAATTTTGATTCTTATTAGTATAAATACGTGAATAACAATGAAATTCGAAACTTATTACTAAACGAAAGTGATTACATATATCTATATATCGTTGTGTCTCAGAATACATTAAAACGATTGTTTACATTCTATAGAAACACAAATTTTGACAAAATCTAATCTTTTTACCTCAGATTAATATCTATTAAATTTAAACCTTCGCATTATATCAAGTTTAGATCATCTTCAATAAATTCTATCAATCTTATCTTTGACATCCATTTTGGATGATCACTAATCTAAAGCAAAAAACATAGCTTTAAACGAAAAATTCAGATAAATATATTTTATTCTCAGATCCTTATTGGATTGACAAGTATATTTTTGTTTACACTATAAACAAACAGACAAACAATTATTGCTACATATTTCAACAACAAGAAAAAAAAAACAGTCATTTCTAAACACGATTTTCATCATAATCAAATTGTTCTTGTTTAAAACAATTTACATTCATTTGATTATTATTAGCATCATCATCGTCATCATCATCATCATCATCAATATCATTATTATCTTCATCACCATTATTATGATCATGATTACTTCCATGTAATGATGATTGTATAAGTGCCCAATCTTCAATAATATCAATATCTGATAACTGATAAAAAATAGCTAAATTATCTTTATCAATTGTTTTGATTGATCCATTAAATAAATTTGTTTTACGTTGTTTTTTATTTTCTTTTAATGATTCAGGTGATTCAAAACGTTTTTTATTCGGTGATATTAATTGTTGTTGGTTATGTGAAAACATTTCTTGTAAAATATTTGAACACAATTGTGTTTTACTTTTTAATGTTTCAAGTTCATCGATTTTCCGTTGAATATCTTCATACATTTGATGATGTAAAAGAAATTTATCATTTTCTAATGTTTGTTGTAAACTTAATAATTCAGCTTGATAAGAATTTTCTAATGATTCTAATTCAATATGACGTCGTTGTTTAGCAATTTCTAAACGTAATTGCATATCATCATAAAGTTTTTTTAATTCTTCTTGATATTCGGGTGCTTCTTCATTTTGTATTGAAAGTAATTTTTGATCAATTAATGAAACACTTTCATCATATAAAATATTTTTTAATTGTTCAAATTGTTTTTCAACATTCATAATTTCATACATAATAGCATAACGACGTGAATCAAAATAATCAATAGTTAATGTTGATGAATCATTTGTACCAAATGTTTGAAGAATATGTTGAATTTCATCAATAGAATCAAGACATTCATCATCAATGCCTTCATCATCATCGTCAATATCATCGAGATCAGTTAAATTTGGATATTGAGGATTTATATGAGGTGATGATAATATTCCAGGTTGAGGAGAAAGATTTGTTTGATCATCATTAGAACTCATTGTATATGATGATAATTTTTAATCGCAAATAAATGAAAGAATGAATGAATCGTTTTTTTTTCTTCTTCTCTCTTGAGTACAACAATTGACCAATCAATAAGTAGTGTTATAGGAGCGACATCTTTTATGATGATTGATCTTGAAATAATTATTTGATAACATATAATTTTTATTATCATTAAAAGATTTTATGAAGAATTGAAATAGAAATTATGAATAAAATACGAAGAACGACAGTAAAAAAGGATTTTCCGGTGCCGGGGATCGAACCCGGGCCTAGACGGTGAGAGCGTCCAATCCTAACCACTAGACCACACCGGATTGTAATTCTTCGTCAATAAATATTTAATCATTGTCTTCACGAAAAACTATATAACATATCGAAAAATAATGGCAGGTTTTAATAATAATTATTTCACTATTCATTCACACCTGTGACTCTCATCGTTGATTATCACGTGATTTTGTAGCTTATGCAAACAGATATACTATAATATTGCTTTTACTAATATGATCATGACACGCAGTGAAGTATAACGAAGAAAATAAGACTATTCATTACGTATATATCATTTCTTATTGAAACAAATCTTGATGTCGTCGTCTGAATTAATATCACCAACAGCTAATGTTTCGTTTTCTCATGTATCACTTCAACCTGGTGAAAAAAGATCAGCTCAAGTTTGATATCATATGAATAAAATGTATAAATTAGCACTTCTTTTCTTCTAGTTAGCTTATTTTAATCATGAAGAAGATATTGGTAATGCAATGCAAACTATTTTTCATGAGAAAAATTTCGATTTACCATTACCAAAAATTTTTATTACACTTGAAGGTGGTCTAAATAATAATAGTGAACGATCGAATGATTTCAGTGAAAAACAATTTTCAACATCAGTTGCAAAATTTCTTTTAGATATTGGTAAATTATTTTTAATATGTTTAAATTAATTTAAATTTTCTTTTTGTTTGAGTACAGGAAGAAATAAATTAAAAGTTCAAAATGATGCTCCATGGTTATTCACTTATGTTCGACATGTATATAAATAAAATTTGAATAAAGAACTTCTATTTATTTTACTTATTAATTTAGGATTTCGTTGCTGGACGTATTATTCAAACAACTAAACAACAATATTTAGCTAATGATATACCTTTAACAAGATTTGTTAATATTGGTATTGATGTTTGTCAATCGATGCCAGTGAGTTTTTGTTTTCTGTAGAAACGAAAAGTATCTTCTTTTCTTTGATGTTAGTTAGAAAATGCACCATATGATTATCAATCAATTGTTAGTGCAATTACAGGTACGAAGAATGTTTTTTTAAGAACCGATTCAGTTGGGGATGAATGTACGAATTCTTATCGTATATTAAATAAACGATTATCACGATTAATTTTATATGGACGACAAAAACAAGATTTAGTTGATCGATGTACTATATTACAACGATGTGTTGATGAAATGAGTCGATTACAAGAATGTAGTACAAGTGAAAGTTGTAAGTTTAGAATTTCAAAATATTTCTATTTTTGTAAGAATATATATGCATTGATAGTAGTTGTACCAAAAATTATATTATTATATGGTGGTGATGTTGTTAATGTTAGTTCAATTTATAGATTAATGAATGTGGAACTCGAACAAAGAAAATTTGGATTAGTCATTATTCGAGTATGTAAAGTGCAAAATATCATATGAAAAAATTTGAATCATTATAAGCAATTCTATAAAATGTTTTCCTTAGGGATCTGGTGGATTGGCTGATGTTCTTGCTTGGGTCTCTGATAAAATTCGTGGCGGTGGTTCAGTATGCTTTCATAATTCTGATCGAATGTAAGTGACGAAAATTTTGAATATAAATATTTCATATATCAAATTTTAAAAGGTCATTAACACGAACATTTCTTCGAGAATTAACAGTAATTGTTGATCAATTACTTTCTAGTGATATGAATGATGATTTAATAGCTTTGATTACATATTTATCATTAAGTCGATGTGCAAAAGTTCGTGTTTGTGATGAAGATGATGATCTTTCATTATATTTTCTTGAAGCTTTAGTATCAAGTATATATATATTTATTATGAATCCTTCAATATTTATATGTATTTTTCTTTCTAGCAAATTCTAATCAACGTTTATCATCAGTAAAATTACATTTATCATTAGCATTTGATTTAAATCAACCAAAATTTGCTAGTAAAATGTTACGTGCAAATCAAGATATACCTGAACAAGTGATTCTATTTTATTTCATCAATCGAATTTTATTATTTTTATATTTAGGATCTAATACAATTAGCTCAAATGGCAATTATAAGAGATCAAGTAGAATTTCTTCCTGTATTAGAAGATGTATGTGGTATCACATCGGATCATCTTGGAGAACATTTTGAAAAAGAATTGAGTTTAAAAATGGTTAGAAGAGATAATATTTCAAATAAATTTGATTATTTTTTTTTTGTCTTTCTATCTGATAGAATTATAATCATGCACTTTTTCTTGAATGTATTCAAGAAAATTTTGGATGTGATCTTGAAGAAATTTATCGACCAGTTTGTTGAAATGATAAATATATTTGTAAAACGAAGAAATCTATATTTTCTTATTTAGACAGATGAAACTAGTGAACATGCAGAAGATGAAATTCAATCAATTAATGTGAAATTATTTTTATGGGCAGTTTTTTTTGATCATTATAATTTATCACTACATTTTTGGAGACGACTTAATGTAAATTATAATATTAAATCTTTCTTGAATTTATTATTAATTTTTAATTAGGATCGATTATGTGGTGCACTTGTTGCTGCAAATGTCTATCGTCATACAGCTGATTTATGTGTAAAACGAAGTTCAACAGAAAGTATAACTGTAGAAAAATTAAGACAACATGCCAAGTAAAAAGAAAATATCTGAATAAATATTCAATTTTTATTCTCTTCTTAGTGAATATGAAAATCTTGCAATACGTTTACTGAATTCACTTTATACATCAAATTCGAATATGGCAAGATTAGCAATTAAACGAGAAAATTTTGAATTTAATAAATTATCATCACTTGAAGTTGCGAGTATGTTTGACAAAAAAAAGAAGAAAAATTAAAAATTATATTCATATTTAGTATTATCACATAGTGAAAATTTTGTTGCACATACAAGTGTACAAGAAGTATTTGATATTGTTTGGTGTGGTGACGTATCTTCTAAAGTAAAATAGAATAGATATATAATTAAAAGATCAGATCTAGAGATTTTTATTTAGATTAAAGGCAAATCATTTAATCGAATGCTTTCAGTTCCATCATCTTTCGATGACGCTACAAATAAAATTCCGTAAGAACAAATTTCTTTTTGTTCGAAAAAAATTTATTTATTTTAGAGTACAAGAGAATAAAAATTTACTTAAATATTTTTTAACAATAAAGAAAAAATTATACCGGCCACAGATAAAATACCAAGTACATTTTTTATTCTACATTACTTTTCTATGTCTTCTATCGTACCTTGTACTTTTTGTTAAAATACCAATACTTCGAATTAATGAAGATATTAAATATTCCGTTCAAAATGGAACATGTTCACAAAATGAAATATTCTGTTCATCATCGACAACTTTGAAACAACGATGGTCTTGGTTACAAATGGTTATTCATATCTGGATATTTATGTTTGCACTTGAAGAATTTCGACAAGTGAGAAAATTTCGAAAGATATAATTCTTCTATTATTTTATTTATATTGATAAATAGTTTAAATTATTAAAAACACGAGATATTGGAATTGGACAAACATTTATAATTTATCTTCGTGAATCATGGAATAAACTTGATGTTCTTTGTGTATGTTTATATTTGATTTCAATTATATTGGAATGTTTTAATACAAAGATAACATTAAATGCTGCAAGGTTTTTACTTTATTTTTTTATTTCTCATCAAATAGAAATAGCCGTTCTTCTTTCAAAATAGAGCTTTTCTTGCTATTGATGTTGTTTTTTGGTTTATACGATTATTAATATTATTAATGATTGATCGTACTGTTGGACCGATGCTTTTAATGATACAAGCTATGGTAGGAGCGGTGTGTTTTCATCCAATCTAATCTTATTAAAAAGCAGCTTTACCTTGTTTTTCATCAATTTTTACATATTTCTACTTCTCTATTTTATGTGATATTATTATGCGCTTAGATCGAAACAAGAAGATTACATTTTTCCTCCCAAGTGCTAATTATTTACTACTAGAAAATTACATTACCAAATATCTATTTAATAGTATTTATAATAAAGAGTATATGAATCTGTTTCTTTTTTTTCTAGCTTAGTGATATGGGAACGTTTTTTTCAATATTTTTCGTATTTACATCGGCATATGGTGTTGCTTCATTTGCTTTATTAAAAAATGGAGAATTATTTTTAGACTTATCAGTGTTTAGAAAAATTTTTCATCAAGCATACTGGTACAATATCAATAAGATTTTTTTTAAAACCATATTCATTCTTTTGCATTTGTATAGGCATGTTTTTGGTCAAATGAACGATCTTGATGATATTGAAAGTAACGAAAAATTAAAGTTCTCAAAAACGATTCTACTTTTTTTATTTTTCTAGATAATTTTGAAATAACGGGATGGGCAGCATTTGCTTTACTTGCTTGTTATATGGCAGTTAGTAATATATTATTAGTTAATTTACTTGTCGCTATGTTTTCGTAAGAAATATGAATGATATAGATTTATAAAAGAAAAATTACTTTTGTTGTTTTTTTCAGAAATACATTTGATCGAATGTTTGCAAAAATGGATACATTATGGAAATTTTATCGGTTTGTAATTTTGTTTAAAAGAAAACTATGTTTATATTCTATTTTATTCTAGATATCATATTATTAAAGAATATACAATACTTCCACCACTACCTCCACCATTGAATCTTTTTTATGCGACTGATCAGAGTTCGAAACCGTTTGATCGTAAGTTGAGATTTAAAAAAAAAAGATATGTTAGGTTTAATAAATTTTTATTATTTTTTGTTTCTAGCTGAATTATCATCTGATCAAATACTTGATTTGCAACGACGTGAAGCTCTTGCTTATGCAAGTGATAAATTCGAAAATGCAACAAAAGATTGTCAGTCTGATACAGAACATCGAGAAGAACTTAATTTACATGTACGACAATTACGAAAAATGATGACACATATTAAGATTACATGTGAAGCATCAACAGGAGATATTTTAAAGCAATACTCATAATCTCTTATAAACTTGAATTCTGATCTAACTTTCGCATTTAAAAATATTGAATGTGATTTTTTAAATTTATTTTTCATTATAAATGTGCATTAATCACACTGAATTAAACGATTTAATAAATGTTATAAGGAATTGTTTAAATTAATACTAATATTTTTACATATACCTTCCTATATTTTGCATGATTGTTTCTTTTATTTTCGGTATCACGAAAAATGCTACACGAGAAGTTTGATGTAGGACTTTGACTGGTATATCGCAGTCTTTTTGGTCGAGCTCGTAATCCTCACATGGTGACTAATGAAAATTCATTAGATATTTATTTTGAACAGTTTATGTAAAAAAAAGATTAAAAAGTATTCAGATGACTAATCTGAGTCGCTCACCTTTCTAGAACGATATTTTCTTCTGGGGTAATTTTACTCGAGGAAAAATGATCGTCTAGATCATTTAAAGAAGAAAAATGTTTACATATAAAGATAAGAATAATCTCTCTTTTTTACTTTTCTTGTAATTGTCGTTCACATGCTCCTTTTCTCTTTTCTTTTTGTAATAAACTTACAGATTATATTGAAATAAGACATCATTCCCTAAATGGTTGTAATTCAAAGAACGATAATCTTGTACACTTCAAACAGTTTAATTACGAAGTATATAAACTCACATATGTATATGACATGCAAAGAAAAACGTGTATCAACGAGATGTTTATAACTGAATTGAGCACTTGAAAGATAATGAAAGGAAAAAGAAAATCAACACTGATTACATATGAGTTGTTATGACTCGTAATCGAGTTAAGTGTTCAAATAAGGATAAGAAACAAAAAAGTATATATACATATATACTATTGATTCTCTTTTTTTGTATGTTTATACAAACTCAAATATGAACATAATAATTTCGCAACAAACTATCTTCATTGTTCTCTGTTCATTAACTTTAACGATTATTTGCGTACCCATATGTCATGATACGGTACCATTTTCAACAAAACTCGCTCAGTCTCCTCTTGTAGTCTATGGTGATATTACCGAAACATCTATACCAGTTTCATTCAATAATTATACTAAACCATTCAATATTTCATTTCTTGTTAAATGTACATTAAAAGGTATTCCTCCAACGAATCAAAATATCATTATTCATCATACACTACCAGGTAAACTATTATTTATAATAAACAGAAATAACTTTAAATATCGACCTTTTTTTTTAAATTAGATAATCCAATTTGTTATCGAACATTTATTTATGGTTATACATATATTTATTTTCTAAATCAAACTAATACAGATAATTATTATAAACAAATACCATTTCATGAATTATTATTCAATGAGGATACGACTATTGAAATACTTAAACGTACATGTGGTATACAAGCTCGTCCATTTCATGAAATTATCAAAGAAAATAGTAATGAAATTGATAATCAATGTCCTATTGTATCTATTGGTTGCTCATAGATTTTTTTCTTGTTGTTGTTTAATTATTAGAAAAAAACAAATTCTTAGTTTCTACTAATCATTATGTATTAGTAATTTTCATTTTTTAGTATATGAATACATAAAGTCTTGAAGTTATTGGTAAATACGATTCATTTTTTTTGTTTAAATATTTAAAAAGATGTATCTATTGAACTAATATCTATTTTGTATACACAATGTTCATTAGTTAATGCTCTTTTCATCTTTAGTTACATCAGCAAACATATATCATGATATAACAAAAAGTTCACATAACTTTATCTTTTTTCTTCAATATAAAACTCGAATGAACTTTGTTATAATCATCTGTTTACTAACGACTTTACTTTGACCTAGAATTACTCCTTCGAAATTTACATGTATTATGACAATCTTAAATAATTATTTCATACAAATAAAAAGAAATATACAATAACAGACTATATTTTCGTTTTATTATTATTATTAATATATATAAAGCATCGCCGCGAACAGAAAAAATTGTTTTTTGTTTTTTAAAAACTATGTTACATTCTATAAAGCATTATAATCCGCTTTGCGACAATATAATAAAATTGCAAATAAGAAAGCGAGTATTTCAACAACACCTATAATGGCACCACCGATAATAACATATTTCTTATATGAATATACTAAATCAACCAATCGATCGTAACATCCTTGTGTATAGGCAGTAGTACCTGTTGTTGCACATGTATTAGCTTCTATCATATTTGTAGGTAATCCATTCCAATTTTTTGTTGCATTCAATGCACAGCAAGTAAAAGGAACAGTTAATGTTGTATTTGGATAATAAGGATTTGTTCGATTCCAACTTGTCGTATTTAAATAATCAGATTTATTAATTGCACCACAACACTGAAAATTAAATTGTGCAAAATCCCACGAAAGTGATATTGGATTTGAAACTGTTGAATTATTGATGGGTGGACCAACATAATATCTTTGAATTGATTTTTGAAGTTTACCAACCAAGTCTGATTTAAAACTATTTTGATAAGCCATAAAAAGAATAATAATTATTATTTCAGCAAGAATAATTCCACCGATAATTATTGCATAAAGAATGTGTAAACATTTGAAACCTTTTATTGCTCCACAACAACCTAAATAAATAAAATAAAATAGTAAATAAAAAAAATTTAGTTTTAATTGTTTGTTTTTACCAAGAAATCCAATGAATAATAAAATACCACCAATAACAATCAGGATGATAGCAAATATTTCAATATTTGATAAAGTTTGAGAATATTTAGCTGTTGCATCAGGATTAAGTAATGGACGTAATTGTTGCATTTTAGGATCTTTTACAACAAAAATACCAATTCCAAGTAATATTCCTCCAGCAATAACAAATACCAGATTCAATAGAATAATAAGAAGTCGTATGAATTTCATACTAGGAGACATACTACCGTGACCTTTTCCGGATGCCATTTGTTACTTAAATTTATAATAATAATAAGATCCTTTTAAATCAAATAAGAAAAGAGAAAGAATTAAGACGACGTGATCACTATCTAGTTATTTGTATATGTTCTTTACTTCGATGATGTATACAGTATATATATATATACGTTCGTTCGTTCGTTCGTATAAAGATGATATTTCAAAAGAAAAAAAGACAATATTTTCTTTTCTCTTTCTATTCAAATTTTCGTAATATTAAAGTCATTTGTATTGGGAGTGCTAAGGCGTAATATACAATATGTTGACTGCCAACAATATTATTTCTTTACTAGATTCTTTTAAAACATCTGATGCCAGACAAACAAAAGTTTGCGTAGGTTGATTTATTTCTAACAAGAAAACATATGGAGAATATGATACAGTACATTAAACTCATTTTTCGAAAGAATGATACATAGTCAATGGAAATTCTATAAATAACAACTTGTAAATGTAAAAAATGAGTTTAATTCTCTCAAGTGAAACCATGAACTCAGTGTATACTGTTAATTGAAAAAAAAAGTATATACTAAAGAAAGAAATGAAATACCATATAAATGTTCTATATGAAATGATTCATATTTACACCTCTAACTATCAGAAGATTGAATTATTTGATAAAATAAAAAATTAAGCGTATTTTTCATTATGTCATTTGTATCTTTTTTGAACTTTTCATATCAAAGGTTGAGATTTATAAGCAGTATAAATATTTCTTTGATGTAACGATAGATTCACTTTTCATAATCCTTATCAATCAGATTATAGACATTCTATTCTTCTTTCAAATAGAAATCTACTTTAATCAAATACTAAACTCTACCTTCTCTCAGAAACTAATCAATCAATCGTATTTTTTCGATATAGAATTAAACAAAAATAAGTCACATAGTATTTGAATTAATGAGGTTTAAATATTCGATATGTATTATATGAAATAATCTATTTTCTTTCTTTTTTCGATGTTTTTCGATTATCTTTTACATGGGCGTTTTTATACTACTGATTTGTTAATCATTTGTACATTTTTTTTCAATCAAAACAGTTCTGTCAATACAACACACTGAAATAACATTTGTCTTCTTTTAATAAGAAAAAAAAGCGATAGAATGTTCGTCGGTTTATCTTCAAAAAAGATGCTACTTATACATAGAAGATTTAATCATCATACAGAACAGAAATCAAATCATTTCAAAAATCTTCTATCAAAATACATTTTCTTAAGTTGTTCCTAGAACGCAAATAATTGATTACTACCATGTATACGAATATCAGTATTATATTATTGATCCTATGTATGCTTATTTCGGTCATCACAATGCAAAAATGGACAGGAACTTACAAATGGGACGACTACTGTGCCACTAATCGTTGTTGTTGTTATACTGGTACATTAGTTGTTACTCAGTCTGGTTCCAATCTTGTTTTTTCATCTGGTACACAAGGATGTGCGAACTCACAAGCATCGTCAACATTTTCAAATCCCAATGGTTATTCATTTTCTACAATAGGAACAAGAGGTTCACATATTGTTTATACACTTAGTTCGGATAGTAATACATTATCAGTCAGCAATCGTGATTATAACTATTGTGGAGGTCATGCTGCTCGAACTTCAGCAGGAATACATATGTATCCATCTATTATTTGGTTCGTAGTTATGCTTACAGCTATATGGATTTTTGCTTAAAATTAATTCTAATAATTAACATATTCTTACATTATCTATAATATAAAGACTTGAAAAGAAAACTATTTTTTGAATAAAATAAAATAATTTGATTGATGAAGAGTCTTGTGACCTATTTCACTTGAAATAAAACAATCTTACAGATATAACTAAGGAGTAAACTGCTATATCATCAGAGGATGTGAGTTGTCGTAAAAAAAAGAACGATTGAATAGAGCGACATCTTATATGATATTGACAGACTTGGATTTATTCGTTTCTTGTAGTAATCAAATTGTTGATTTTTCTCAATAACAAATTGTCAGGTGGTGTTATCTGATATGATCATAAAAATATGATAAAATAAAAAAATATTATATTAAAATGGCAAACGAATATGTTCTAGTTGGTACATTAAAAATTGTTAAAATTCTTCTTAATTTTGTTAATCAAGAAGTATTACCAGATTTAAATATTAATGAAGATGCATTCTGGTCTGGAGCTGAATCAATAATTACCGAATTATCACCTGAAAATCGTAGACTTTTAAATATACGAGATTGTTTACAAGCTCAAATTGATGAATGGCATCGAACTCATCCAGGCAAATATAGAGATATTACTGAATATAAACAATTTTTATATGATATTGGTTATTTATCACCACGTTATAATGATGAAAATATTCAAATCAATACCAACAATGTCGATGATGAAATAGCTATTCAAGCTGCACCACAACTTGTTGTACCATTAATGAATGCTCGATTTACATTAAATGCTGCCAATGCACGATGGGGTTCATTATATGATGCTTTATATGGTACTGATGTTATTTCAGAAGATGATGGCTGTGAACGCACCAATAAATATAATAAAAAACGTGGTGAAAAAGTAATTGCTTTTACACAGAAATTTCTAGATCAATCTATACCATTGATGAATAACGCATCACATGCTGATGTTATCAAATATGATATTGAAAATGGAGAACTGAAAGTAAGAAATTAATATTCTAAAATATTGCTAATTCGATCATTTATTTTATATAGATCACTTTACGAGATAAAAATACGACTCAACTTCAATATCCTAATCAATTTATTGGTTATCAAGGTGAAGCCGATAGACTTAATTCTATTCTTTTTGTTCATCATGGTCTTCATATTGAAATTCAAATAGATCTACCTGGTATTAAAGATATTCTAATTGAATCAGCTCTAACTACTATTATTGATTGTGAAGATTCAGTTGCAGCAGTTGATGCTTATGATAAAGTACAAGTATATCGTAATTGGCTTGGTTTAATGAAAGGTAATTTAGAAGCTCAATTTGTTAAAGGTAAAGAAACAATTATTCGAAAATTAAATCCAGATCGAATTTATACATCAAAAACGGGAAATGAATTACGATTACCTGGTCGATCTCTTCTATTTATTCGTCATGTTGGTCATTTATTATATACTGATGCTATTTTAAATAATGATAATCAAGAAATTCCTGAAGGAATTCTTGATGCTCTCATTACAACTTTAATTGCATTACATGATATTAATGATAAACGAAAAGAAAGAATTCAAAATAGTCGTAAAGATTCAATTTATATTGTTAAACCAAAACAACATGGTCCAGAAGAAGTTGCTTTTACTTCAAATTTATTTTGTCGTATTGAAGATCTTTTAAAATTACCTCGCTATACACTTAAAATAGGTATTATGGATGAAGAACGTCGTACAACAGTCAATCTTAGTGCATGTATTCGTGAAGTTAAAGATCGTCTTGTATTTATTAATACAGGATTTCTTGATCGAACCGGTGATGAAATTCATACATCAATGGAAGCTGGTCCTTTCGTACCTAAGAGTCAAATGAAAGAAAGTAAATGGTTAAATGCATATGAAAAGAATAATGTTGAAATTGGATTAAAATGTGGTTTATCCGGGAAAGCACAGATTGGTAAAGGAATGTGGGCAATGCCAGATATGATGGCATCAATGCTTCAACAGAAAATTAAACATCTTCAAGCTGGAGCAACTTGTTCATGGGTACCATCACCAACGGCTGCTACTCTTCATGCATTACATTATCATCAAATTGATGTTTCTAATCGTCATACTGAATTAAATTCTTTATCTTTATTATCAAACGATTATTTAGATGATTTATTAACTATTCCAATTCTTAATACGACTCTAACAAATGAAGAAATTCAACATGAATTAGATAATAATATACAAAGTATACTTGGTTATGTTGTTCGTTGGATTGATCAAGGTATAGGTTGTTCAAAAGTACCTGATATTGATGATATTGGATTGATGGAAGATCGTGCAACATTAAGAATATCAAGTCAACTTATGGCAAATTGGTTACGACATGGAATTATTACAAAACAACAAGTTATAGAAACACTTCAACGAATGGCTAAAATAGTAGATCGACAAAATGCAAACGATACTGAATATCAACCAATGGCATCGAATTTTGATCAGAATATAGCTTTTCAAGCTGCACTAGAACTTATATTAGATGGACATAAACAACCAAATGGATATACTGAACCTATTTTACATCGTCGACGATGTGAAGTAAAGTCTCTACAACAACAAAATATTATTTCCCATTGAATTTCGCACTCGAGATTTTATTTTTTTGAAAATATATTTTGAAGTTTCTCTTCGAATTAATTTATTTAATTTATTTTTTTTTTGAAAAAAAGAAAACGTTTTTTGAAATATGTTTTATCTTGAAATTATGATTGATAATCGAGAATCATTTGTTCATGTTCTTCAAAAAAATGTTCATCACAATTATTACCTGAACCTTCACGATCTACAACAAGAAATTCATCATCTTCATCACCAATAGCTAATACTGGATGATGCCAAGTTCCACGACTATAATTTATTCCTTGTTTACCATTTGTTATAAATGCACGTATAAGATCAAGTTGTGGTTTATCATTATTGATAGAACTATCAGTCGGTGGAGCAACTACAACAAGAGATGTTCGACCAAGTAATGGTACAAAAGCTTGACTACCAAGTGGATGTCGTTCCAACATACTAATAGTAAATGGCAGTTTTGTTGTCTGAGCTCGAAAGATACTTATAATGGCACGATCACCATCAGCTGGATATGCAGTTTCTACTTGAGCAAGAGCATGATAACGACGAGTTGAACCATTGTTAATTACTCTAAACGGACGTTGATCTGTTTCAATTACGTCACCAAATGAAGCAAAGGCTTCTTTAGTTAATGGTTCGACTTTTAATTTTTGTAACGTCATACTGAAGATTTTTTTTATGAAAAAGTACTAAATAATTGAAGTATACGAAATACAATGATAACAGATAACAAATAGAAGTGTTTGCCCTTTAATCTCTTGGACAAAACGAGAGAAAAATTGTTACTCAACTTGTTCTTTATTTACATTATCATTTCGAGTGACTAGTTTAAAAGTATATCTTTATCAATCATGAATATCAAATGAAAATAGAAATAATTGATGCAACATATTTATTGCATATTTAAATTTATATGTATGTATATCTCCACTGAATTCAACTCAATCTGTATATAGATACACGTGTTGTTTAGTTAAAAGATGCCGCTGTCTATCGATGCATTGAACATTATTAATTTATTATTATCTAGATTATTAGATTATTTCATAATTTTAAATGCAAAAAAGTGATAAAATTAGTAGATTTTGTCTTGTTAATTTTGTAATTTAAATGAGGTCATTTTTCAGAGCCATGAAGCTTCTTCAGTTGCCGATCCTATGAACATTGTACTTTGTAATTTATTTAGAGCTTTCGTGTATTGTAAAAGAGATACATTACTCGATTTATGATAATTACTTCCAACATCGATTGCACGCTTATAATATGCAATAGCTAAATCGTTTTTTCGGGAAATTTCATACCATTGTCCAATGTTGAAATAAATGGAAGGCACTCTTATAGAATTTATTGCATTAGTTCGTTTATAAAAATCAATTGCTAGTTTGTAATATTCCATACCTTGACTCATGTTGTTCGTCAGGGTAAAGATTTTACCTTTATTATTCAATGATGCACCATGTAGATCATCATTAGCTGGTACATACCGTAAGGTAGTATTTGTTGCTGTATTGAAACAATCGAGTGCTTCATCAAACCGAGCAAGACGTATATAAATAGCACCACAATCATTATAAAGAACAGACATTAAACTGTAGTTTATGGATGAAGACAATTCGCCTGACGATATTATATCAAACGCTTGATGATTGAGTTCTAACGATTTCAGATAGCTTTTCTTAGACATTTCTTTCTGATCTTGTGTAGCTTCATAATCACCTTTTCGTAAATAAAGTGAAGCTGCACTATAATATGCAGCAGCAATTGATGAATGCCCGTTAGGTAAGTATTTACGTGTGATACAAAGTACTTCATTTGAGTGTAGTACTGCTTCTTCAAAGTCATGTCGATCTGAATGGATCTCGGCAAGAACTTGATACGTTGCTGCTATTAGTGGATGTGATAATGGTAAATATTTTAATCGAATACCAAGAACAAATTGTTCTCTTTCCAAATTCAAATCAGAATCAGCATATGGTTGAGCAGTCACTAGATTATTTATAATTGTAGCCATCAATAGCCAATTAATCTGTTTGTCATCTGGCACAGTTCTACACATTTCCAAGGCTTTTTCATAGTAATCAACTATCACATGAGTCGGAGATGCAAGTAGACGATGAACTCTACCTATATTATTATATATAGTAGCTAACGAATCGAAATCAGTTGTATCATATTGTAGTTGAAGTGTAAGTGCATTTTCGTATGATTGTAATGCTAACTCAGGCTCATTTATATAGGCTTGTCCCATGATGTTATAGCAACGAATAGTAAGTTTGTAGTCATCGGAAACTTCTTTTAAAAGTGTTTGACAAAAAGATATTGTTCGATTATAGTCATCCATAAGTAAGAGAAGATAAGCAAGATCAGCTATAGTCGTCGTTTGAATCGGATCTATTCTTAAATGTGCACTTAATTTTACCATTTCTTCTGTTTCTGACGTACTCTCTATAAATACCATATTGACTATCCATATCTGATCTCTATAATCGAGATAAACTCATTATATGTATCAAACTGATTGAAAGAAAAAAAAACTCACAATTGTTCATCAATACTTTCAATACGAAACATTGATGACAATGAAAACAGCACTTCTTGCTCATCTTCGAAACGGCTAAATTCTGAAATCGAAGCAAATGGATGTTGATGTGTTTCTGAATTCTCGTTAATATTAATTTTAATTTTAAAAAGTACAGATTCCATAGTCGGATGTATTCTCTTATCACCTGCATATATTAAAGCCACTTGTCGATCAAGACTTGTTGATAGAAATGAATTGATTGAGATTAATTCGCCAATATTAGCTTTTAATTTATTAAAATCATCCGAAGTCATTTGTTGTCCACGATATACTAAAAGTTCGCTAAGATCATAAGAACAAATACGTTCTACATATGGTTTGTGTAATGATTCAAGTTGATGATGTAAATCAGTAATGAAAAATCGACATGCAAAAAGAAGATCAATATTTTCTGTACGAATTGCTTTATTCAATAATCGATAGACAAATGAATCACTCGAATACCATTTTAATGCTTCTGATGGTTTATATGTTGTATCAAAATTATTTATACGTTGTAATTCAAGATCATTATCAGTATAGTATACTCGAGCGAAATGAAGAAGATCTTGTTTAGCTTTATTAGATGATGGCATATTAATTAAAGCAGTAATAAATAATCGAAACCAAAAAAATGCACCCGTATCTTTAGTTAAATCACGTAAACTTTTTTCTGGCAGAAAAGAAGTTGACATTGAATGAGTTGCATAGAAATAATTCACATCTTTCGATAGTTGACTATATAAGAACTCTTGATTATTAAATATTCCACTTGATTTTAATGAAGAATATCTTTCTGGATATTGACAAAAAATATAAATATGTAAAACTTGTGGAAGATTTTGAATAAGTGGAATAAATTCAAAACTTAGTTCACCAGATACAATAATAAAAATCCATTCATTTGGTATTGATTGAATATATTCAAGGCAAACGTGTCGATCAGTGAATATTTTAAGAAAATTAATAATACAACGTAAACGTGTTTTTGTATTCAAATCTTGTGAATGTTTATCAAGCCATATAATAGTAAGATCCTCTAAATTTACTTTGTCTTTTTCTATTGAGAATAATTTATCAGCCATGAAATTAATCTGAAATATAGCATATATGGAAAAAAACAGATTTGAATTATATATCGACAAAATTATGTTGAAGTATAATCATTGAAAAATACTAGCTTGATTCATTCGTGGTTTATATACAGTAGAATAACGTACGGTCATTAAATCTATTCGATAATCAATCAATCTTGGTATGTATCATCTATAGACAACGCAGATAAAGTAGCGTCTTTACTAAGATAGTTAAGCCAAGCAATAGTAGTCAGGAGATAATTTCTGTCATTGCTTCAGATAGCAAATCATCACGAAAAATATGTATGTTTAAGGTAATGAATCAAATAGAAAATGTTTTTCGATCACTATTTAGTCTGTATTACTAAATATGCATGATTCTTCTCAAGCAAACCTATAATTTATTATATTACTATTGATTCATCATTAACTACCTGAATATCATTGCAATTAAAATAACATGATTTTTAACAGATGAAACACAAAATATGCCATATTTTATACAATGCATTTTTGAAGACTCTTAGAGCAATACAATTATAAGAAAATATGTGAAAATACGAATGTTAGTAAATAATATTATAATTGATTGACTCGACGACTTCCGTCAATGACAAGAGAAGAAAGATGAAAAAATATGATTATTTTCATATGATGATTATGTACCCATGATATTTTTTTTTTGATTCTGATTCATTACAAATAAATATATTTCTTGTAGCTATGAAAAAAACACGTTTTCAAACTTCCCATGTGAAGGTGAAAATATGCAAAAATTCAAATATTTTCGTATGTTCTTTTAGAACAAATAGAAATCATGTCTAATTTTATCAAATAGTATATCATTGTTTATATTAATATTTGTTATGCAAGGAAGTAGATAGAAAATGAATGAATAGCATATTATCTATGATATTTTTTCAGTTATTAATATTCTGGTGTATTCGAGATATAATAGATAAACTTTAAATATTGTAGCAACAAAAATGCGTCATTGTTTTTTGTGTCCTTTGTTGCCCGTGAAGATGAATCAGTTTTATCTATGCTTGTGCTTTAATTTCAAATTGCTATCAAATAAACTGCGCACCATATGAGTGATATTAAGTCAACAAATATCTCTTTTTCACTATTTCTTATCATACAGCATATATAAAAGACGTGCACATCTACATTTTCTTTGCTTAAAATTTTTTGTTAATATCTTCAAAATGGGCAGAGAATTATCATGTGGTGTCGAGTTCATGCGAGGAGTATTATTATTTTTCAATGTTTTATTTGTCATTGTTGGCCTCGCTCTAATTGGTCTTGGTATTTACATTAAAGTTGATGACAATTTTGCATCAATTCTCGAACAATTAGCCAACGGTCAGAAGACTTTCGAGGGTCAATCTCTTGGATTTTTAGCTTTCGTTATGATCGGAGGTGGTGTTTTTACTCTTCTTATTGCATTGTTTGGCTGTATGGGTAAGTTTCACATTCTATGATATATTGAAATTCTATTATTTTCTTTAACTATACTAACAGGAGCCTTATGGAATAACCGTTGCTTATTATATATGTATGCCTTAATTCTTGCCTTGCTGATGATTTTGGAATTAGTTGGTTTCATTATGGCATTTGTAAACAAAGGCAATCTTGAGAAAGATTATAAACAGTCCTTGTCCAATGTTTTGCAGGCTGCTTTAAAAAATAATACGGTATCAGTGTTGACGTCTTTTCATAAATTAGAAGACATTTTGAAATGTTGTGGTGCCTATAATAAATCCGATTATAACAACTATCCTGAAATTCCATTGTCCCAGCGATGCATGGATCATGAAGATTCTCAAGGTTGTTCTGATGCTATTATTGGACTTCTAAAGAAGTATTTAGGAATCATCGCAGGGTCGTTGGGTGGGGTGTTACTATTGGAATTGCTCGGTTTAATTGGCGCTATTGTCTTGGCGAAAGCACTCAAAAATAAACCTGATAATATAGTAGTTCGAGGACCCCGAAGAAGATAAATAATATCGAAATTTTTATTATTAAATTGTTATAATCAGTAAAACAAACTTTGAATGAACAAGATCAATAAATAAATTAAACAATATATTTTTTGATTTTCTTTTTGTTTTTGATTTTACTCTTCAAATTGTTAAATATAGTCAACAGAAAAAAAAAGGTAAAGTCGATAGAAAAAACAAAGGAACGTGTTATCACTGGAACTGTTAAGCGAAATAAAAAAGAAATCACGAAAAAAACATGCCTAATAAAAGATAGAATGAATCTATTTTGATTTATGTGTCAAATGAGATTAACAAAAAAAAAAAGGACGGCTATCATTATTAATTCATTGTACACAGATATATTTTGAGAATGATCTTATTTTTGACGTTTGAGTATACCTTGCTTCAATTGTCTATATAAAACATAACGATCTTTACCAATAACAGAACTCTAAAAGAAGAGAAAGATAAGAAGAAGAAAAAATAATTAATCACATATACCGTATACAAATCAAGTCCATTCATATCTGACCGTAAATTTGTAATAGGATTTCGAAAAACAAGACGACAGACAACTGGCATTTCATGGCCATTAGAAGAGGTTTCGTTCTAGAACAAAAAACAGAAGTTGAAGAATTTTCTATGAATAATAAATCGTATTCAAATATTCAAGTCTTTTAAATATCATATTTAATCCGGACCATACTTTTATGTTCAAGTATTTTTGTTTCTGATATATAGAATAGTGAACATATACATATATGAAAAGAAATACTAGTACATGAATAGTTATATGAAAAACTACCTCTATGACCTTCTATGATGTCGTTTCTCTTATCATCTATAGATGATTCATCGAACCATCGTGCTCTATGGACTTTAACTCAGAGAATTAATTTATCCAACTGCTTTTAGTTTTTAAAATAACATCATACATCAGCTAGAGAAATTTAAATGTTTTACAATATAATAAACAACAGGTAACAGTGCTACTAGTATGATTGAATCTAACTCTTACCATCGGTGGTAAATACATTCCAAAGCTAAAACTGTATTCTTTAAGATCATCAACAAAACCTAGAAAAATAAATATTTCAAATTATATACATTGGAAATATACTTCGACATTTACTTCGAAAAATTAGATGTAATGCTTTATAAAAATCTTTGTCAAGTTTTTCACCAAGAACCATAACTTCAAGATCTTTAACTGGTGTCTAACAAAAAAAAACAGATTAATATAATTCTATTTCTTTTTTAAATTAAAAAACGAACAAGATGAAGAATGATATGAGCATCTCCAATTGGTATTGTTAAATCTAATGCATGATGAATATGAAGATAATCATTGAAATAATTTCTTCCTTGATTAATTTGTGCATAATGTCGAGCACCTTGTCGAGTTCGTTCAATATTTCCATAGTAAATATCCATACCTAGACTAACTTGAAGATGTGTATGTACTTGTGATGCACCACTTTTAGGCATTGCATCCCAAATCATTTCTGGACATGTATACATGGATTCAATTGAATAAACTTTTTGAAACCATGTTTGTGCTAATTCAAACATATCACCAATTTCATCTTCTGTTAAATGTAATGTATCATGATTACGCGAAACAATTAATGTATGCCAACGATCATATTTAAATGTATTTGCTGCTGTATATGAAAGACTACGTTCAAGACGTCCAAATGAATCTTCTGCTGTAGAACTAAGATAATTGTTTCCACAAAAATCACAGTTTTTTTTACTTTCTTCCATCATTTGTAATGTGCTATAAAATAAAAAAATGATTATTATACGAAGAATCGTTTATGTTAGGTAAGAAGTAGATAAATAGAATAATGCAGAAATTCAGTCATATAGATAAATGTCAGCATGCAGTATGATTTTCAGCATATTATTTTTTTAAAGTCGAACATTATTTTCTACTTTTAGAAAGTAATTGATCACCGCCACATAAATGAGATATGTATATGACATGATTGAAAATACTCATAATAATCGTACTAGTTATCAGCAGATTGTTCATTTTTCGATTGTGGACGTTGACTACGCATGTAATTGTATAACATTTCTTCATGTGTATGTCGATTGTAGACTTTAATAATACGCTTTAAAAAGATAAACAAGTATATGAATTATTTTTTATATTTTAAATAAAAGAATATTCATTACTTGTTTCTTTATTTGTCCAATAAGTGTTTCATCATTATGTAACCATTTATTTATTTTCTTTAAATAAATTGGTGATATTTGTAATGCACCATAAATTTCCTCGAGACGAAATAATGCATCAAATTTCTTGACAAATTCTCTATTAAAAAAAAATATTTTTCTTATAGAAATAAAATTAATTTTACTGGCAAATTTCATTTGTTGATAAACGAGCATTATTTAAATATTTTACAAGATTTTCTATTGCAAGTTTATCTGACTCTTTGATTTGAAAGCAATGTTTTCGATACCACATCTAAATCGATTAGATTTATTTTCGAAAAATTTTCTTAAGAAAAATAATCATTACTGATGAATGTTTATCTGGTAAAATTTTAAATTTATCATTCGTTGTTACTGTTGTTATATATTGTATTGGTATTGATGATTGATTAATTGCATAATGATGTTGATAAAAAAGAATAAT